CTCTGACCTGGAATAACTTAGTAGTCTTCAGAACGGTTGTTCTTTCATCCCATTCTTTGTCCTGCAGCTGAGAGAGCTTTCAGAAACATGACTATGAGCCCATCACAGCCCTGCCTCACAGCCCCACAGATACTCTGCAGGCTAAATGTGCATCATAGGCATATAAGTCCCAATCAGTCTGGCCCCAGTTTACCTCTCCAGCCTCATTTCCCACTCTCCTCCCTCAGGCTGCCCACCTTTCCTGAGCAGCTCTGCTTAGGCACCCCTGCACACACTTTTGTGGTCCAGCCTCTGTGTGGTCACGTCCACCTGCAATTTCCCTTTTTCCTCCACTGCTCTGCCCTTGGCCACAACTTTCATGTGTGCATTTTTTTTTAACACATCCTCCCTTGACTCCCAAAGTAGATCCCCCAGAGCTCTACTCTTCCATCTTCCTTACTCTAAGGTAGACTTAACATTTCCCCTCCCTATGCATTCTATATGTAAGCAAACCCAAAGCGTTATCAACTTTAAGGGGCACCATTATTTTGTTGTTTGGTCACTAAGTCATGACAGACTCTTTGTGACCCCATGGACTGTAGCCCACCAGGCTCCTCTGTTCACAGAACTCTCCAGGCAAGAATACTGGAGTGGGTTGCCATTCCCTTCTCCAGGGGATCTTCCTGACCCAGGGATCGAACCCAGGTTTCTAGCATTGCAGGTGTGTTCTTTACCATCTGAACCACCAGGAAAGCCACCACTATTTTACATACCACCAAGCGTAATATTTAAACTGTGACATGATGCCTTTCTATTTTTTATAGTTTTCATTTTATTCTTATTGAACAAGTTATTACAGATTTATTTGGAAATATGGTTTTATAATATATCATTTTTGCATATATGGAAAGGAACCCAAGTCTCCCAATTTACAGGTGGATTCTTTACCAGCTGAGCCACAAGGAAAGCCCAACAATACTGGAGTGATTAGCCTATCCCTTCTCTAGTGGATCTTCCTGACCCAGGAATCGAACCAGGATCTTCTGCATTGCAGGCGGATTCTTTACTGACTGAGCTATGAGGGAAGCCTAATATACAGACCAATCTGCTTATTTACTTTATTTATTTATGAGTGAATCAGTAAATATTTATTTGTTTGGCTGTGCCAGGTTTTAAGCTGTGGCACGTGGGATCTTTAGTTGCGACATGCAAACTCTTAATTGCTGCAAGTGGGATATAGTTCCCTGACCAGGGATCAAACCTGGGCTCCCTTCATTGGGAATGCAGAGTCTTAGCCACTGGGCCACCAGGGAAATTTCTTCTTGATTTATTTTGTTTATTCTCTCTCTCTATGACTGGAATGCCAATTCCACAGTTTGAGGGTTTTTGTTTAGCTTATGCATTGCTATAATCTTTGCCCTTCCCATGGGGTCTAACACACAGTAGGTGTTCAACAAATATTTATTTAAATGAATACAAGAGCATAAAGATTTGCAGAAAGTAGTTATCAGCTGCTTCAGAGAAGTCTAGCTCCTGAGAGGTCTGCTGGTGATAGGGGCCAGTAACTCCCAACAATGGGGATCTCTGGACATCTACATACCATAGAGTCTAGGCTCAACCTCCAGCCTCACCCTAGAGGACACTGTCCATTCTCGGGTCCAAGGGATAAAACTGAACAGACGAAAGTCCCCTTTCTAGTGGAGTCTTTTTGCACATGCTATTCCCACTATCTGAAATTCTCTTTCTCTCTCTTCCAACTCCCCTTCCAACTCTCAGACCTAGGAAAGATATTTCCTCTCAGGAAGCATTCACAGTAGCTCCCAAAGTAGCCTCTGGTAATTGACAGAAATCCTTTCATAAGGTGGTCATCTTAGGACAGTTGCCTTTCAGCACATCTTGATACAGGAATTAAGATGCCCATGCTTTGCTGTGGGAGGGAGGTTAAGAGCTCGGATGTACATCATTTGTCAGAGGTGCTAGGGTTGTGATCACTTAACTTGCTGGGGTAGTAAGAGTTAGGACGACATCATTTGTTGGATGGTTAAGTGTTGGCATACAAATGATTTTTTTTTGAGTGAGGATTAGAATGCACATGCTATGTTGAGGGGAGTAATGGTTAACATGCAAATAATTTGTTGAGGGTATGTTGGGATGTATATGGTTTGTTGAGGGGAGGAGGGGTTGGGATGTACATTTTTTTTAGGGAGGCTAGGAGTCACCCCAGCTAATTCTGTGGGGGAGCTCTGGAGTATGTACTGAATACCATGGAGATGATCTGTCTTGAGGTGAGGCCTTTTTATCCCCCTGTGTCAGTCATTGACCATGGGCTGCCCCTGGGGTGGGGTGGGGACATAACCTGACAGGCAAAGTGATGGATGGGGTCTGGGCAGAGCATGAGGGGTGTCTACTACTCTGATCAAACCTTTGTCTGGTTATGTTTGCCCACTGCCTCAAAAGTTGCTACACAGAATATGAGTGTCATTTCCTCTTTCATTATATTTAAATATATTTAAAAAGTTGGTCTATTTATTCATTTACTTATTTTTAGCTGTGCTCAGTCTCCATTGCTGTGCATGGCTTTCTCTAGTTGTGGCTTGCAGGCTTCTCACTGCAGTGACTTCTCTTGTTGCAGAGCAGAGGCTCGGTTGTTGTGGGTGCTCTGGCTTAGTTGCTCCACAGCATGCATCTTCCAAGAAGAGGGATCAAATCTGTGTCTCTTGCATTGGCAGGCAGATTCTTTATCACCAAGCCACCAGGGAGGCCACAAGGTGATTTTGACTCTGGCTGAACCTACATCTTTGTTCAATTCCTTCATCCTGTTTTCCTCCTCTCTCTTTCCTGGTAGCATTCCCAGCAAATCCCAACCACTCAGCCCCCCACTATAGGAACCTCACCTAACACAGTCTCTCCCTTATTTGGTTATGTCATCAAAGCAGGAAAAAAGAATTCAAAGTTTCCAGCTGTTTCTGGTTTTATTCTGAAACAAGATTTAGAAATACTGTACAGTGAGACTGCCTCCCTGGTGGAAGCCCAGTGGAGACAGTGAGAACCAGCCTCCAGCCAGGAAGGACGCATGGATGTGGATCAAAGAACCCGCATGCCACTGCAGGAGACATAAGAAATCTGGGTTCGATCCCTGGTTAGGAAGATCTCCTGGAGAAGGGCATGGCAACCCATTCCAGCATTCATGCTTGGAGAATCTCATGGACAAAGGAAACTGGTGGGCTATGATTCATAGGGTCACAAAGAGTTAGAAATGACTTAAGTGACTTGGCACGCATGCACAAGGTCATCGAACCTGGTTTGGGGCTGCTACTGCTACTGAGGGCGGCGTGAGGGCTTCAAGGAGGGGCACCCATCTCGCGGGCTCTGGGGACCTGTGGGGTTCGGTGCTGCACTGATGGCCTTTGCCTCCCACCCTCCTCTTCCTTCTCCTGACCACAGCTTTCAGGTGCCAGGAGGAGGCTACGGACTGGAGGGCTACCATGCAGACTAACCAGAAGGGCATTCACAAGACAGACAAATGCCTGAACGCCATCTTGAACTTCCTGGGACGTGAGGACTAGCTTTGCAAGCATGAATGGGGGGATGGATCTAAGCCTTTCCCATGTTATGATGGTAAATCCTCCCTGCCAAATGGGTGTGGCTCTTCACTGTTTGGTGTCCATCTGAATATTAGCTTTCCTTCCCTGACAAGTGCTGCAGCCATTGTGGCAGGTACTATGGGATTTGTGGCAAAATTAAAAAGGACTGTTATGAGGAGTACCAGTATTGTTCCTTTAAGATCTGTTGAGATGTGCAGACACCACTAGGACCAACTCATCATGTTCATGAAACCACAGTTGACCTCTTCACTGTCAGTGTTATACATTTAGGCTGCAAAGCATACTTGGATAGCCAATGAGCCGCCATGTAGCTCTCCATATGAAAGAAAAAAAGATCTTTAAAGAAGATGCTGGGGACTTTCCTGGTGGTTCAGTGGCTAAGACTCCTCGCTCCCAGTGCTGGGGGCCTGGGTTTGATCCCTGGTGGGGGAACTAGATCCCACATGCTGCAACTAAGAGTTCCAATGTGGGAAAAATAAAAAAATAAAAAAACAAAACACCCCCCAAATGCTATGTGCTGCAACTTTTGACCAGTGTGGTCAAATAAATAAATAAATAAATACATAAAAATTAAAGATGATGCTGACAGGTGGTGACAGCAGAACATACATGAAAACAGATGAACATAACCTTTGACAAAGAACTAATGTTTTTACAGCATAAAGCTGCCTTATTTTTGTGAAAGGGTTATCTTTTTTTTTTCATTTATTTTTATTAGTTGGAGGCTAATTACTTCACAACATTTCAGTGGGTTTTGTCATACATTGACATGAATCAGCCATGGAGTTACATGTATTCCCCATCCCGATTACCCCTCCCACTTCCCTCTCCACCCGATTCCTCTGGGTCTTCCCAGTGCACCAGGCCCGAGCATTTGTCTCATGCATCCCACCTGGGCTGGTGATCTGTTTCACTATAGATAATATACATGCTGTTCTTTCGAAACATCCCACCCTTGCCTTCTCCCAGAGTCCAAAAGTCTGTTTTGTACATCTGTGTTTCTTTTTCTGTTTTGCATATAGGGTTATCATTACCACCTTTCTAAATTCCATATATATGTGTTAGCATGCTGTAATGTTCTTTATCTTTGTGGCTTACTTCACTCTGTATAATGGGCTCCAGTTTCATCCATCTCATTAGAACTGATTCAAATGAATGTGAAAGGGTTATCTTAAGACTTTATTTTGACATTAAAATTTTAAACTCAAGAAAAAAAAGGTTATCTTTCTGAATATTGCTGTCGTAGTGTGTCTTAACAGTCTTGACAAGTTTCAGAAAAGATGCATGTTAAGGGAGGAATTTTTTTTTTTTTTTGAAAAGACTGTAACTCAATTTTCACAACCATCATTACAAAAAAATAATGTCAAATGTGAAATTCATTACAAGGTATGTTCAACATTATCTCATTTTGGAAGTATGGGGGAACCTTCACTTAGAAGTATGTGACTTCACTTAGAAGTCACATATGACTTCACTTAGAAGTCCCACTAGGGGACTTCCCTGGTGGACCAGTGGTTGAGACTCCATGCTTCCAATGCAGGGGGTGCAAGTTTGATCCTTGGTTGGGGAACTGAGATCCCACATGCCATGTAGCATGGCCAAAAAAAAAAAAAAGAAAAAAAAATCAAATATAATAAAAGAGAACTGAGTGAAAGTCATTCAGTTGTGTCCCACTCTTTGTGACCCCATGGATTATACAATCCATGGAATTCTCCAGGCCAGAATACTGGAGCGGGAAGCCTTTCCCTTCTCCAGGGGACCTTCCCAACCCAGGGATTGAACCCAGGTCTCCCGAATTGCAGGCGGATTCTTTACCAGCTGAGCCACAAGGGAAGCCCAAGAATACTGGAGTAGGTAGCCTATCCCTTCGCCAGGGGATCTTCCCGACCCAGGAATCGAACTGGGGTCCCCTGCATTGCAGGCAGATTCTTTACCAATTGAGCTATCAGGGAAACCCCAAAATAGAATTTAACTGCCTTCCAGAAAAGGAAGTCAGTTTATTTACTGTAAAAAATTTAATATACATTTATGCCAGGAAAAAAGAAATACTGTACTTGGATTACGGCAGGGTACAAATAAGATCCCTTGTTATCTGCGTATGTACTCAGTCGCTAAGTCATATCAGACTCTTTGCCACCACCATGGACTCCAGCCTGCCAGGCTCCTCTGTCCGTGGGATTTTCCAGGCAAGAATACTGAAGTGGGTTGCCATTTCCTCCTCTAAGAGATCTTCCCAACCCAGGGGTTGAACCCACGTCTCTTGCACTGGCAGACAGATTATTTACTACTGAGCCACTTGGGAAACCCCTCCCTTGTTATTAATATTATTTCATTAATAATAATGATGGTTGAATCCTATTTGTACATTAATACTTAAGATTATTGTCTGGGCCACCAGAGAAGCCCATTTAGTCTTTACACCCTACTGCCATCTTCTGGGGAAACTAAGGAATAAGAAATTCAAAGCAGCTGGGTTTATGAAGCAGGATTGAGGTATGGAAGAAGGTCTAATTCTTGGGGTATAAGGAACTGAAGAAAATCCTACAGATATATTAACTAGTTCCTTTGGGTTTCCCTGGTAGCTCAGATGGTAAAGAATCCTTCTGCAATGCGGGAGACCTGGGTTCAATCCTTGGGTTGGGAAGATCCCCTGGAGAAGGAAACGGCTGCCAACTCCAATATTCTGGTCTGGAGAATCCCAAGGACAGAAGAGCTTGGTGGGCTACAGTCCTTGGGGTCGTAGAGTCAGACACGACTGAGCAACTTTCACATCATTTAAAATCTGCTAATATATTCTTATTGCCCTTGAAAATTCAGGTGTAAGGATACTCATTAATAAGCTAATTTTTGTAACAAGTGCATCAAAGTGGGATTTACGAACTTGGTCATCACATTAATTTATCCCTCTACCTATCCACCCATCATCCATCCATCCATTCATTTATCCATGCATCATCCACCCATCCATAACCCACTCACCTATCTGTCCATGCATTATTTACCCATCCACTCATCCATTTACCCATCATCTTCTCATCCATCCAACAAATGTTTAAGAAATACCTTCTCTGTGCTCAGTGATTTTATGTCAAGGTGATTGATTTTATTCACTCTCAATTTTATCACATTTGAAGTGAGGTTAATCTTGTCAAATCACTTACTCTTTAGGGGAAAGAATACATTTATGGCACTAACAAAATTTGATTTTCTTTTATTTGTTAAAAAATATTTTTATTCATGCAAATAATATTAGGCAATAAAATCAGATAGTGCAAATTAAATTTGGGAATAGATAAATGCCAGGGGATTAAAATAAAGATGTTGTTGTATAGTTAACTCATAATATTGACATATTTTGAGTAGCTATTGTAAACTATATACCACTTAAACTTTAATGACTTCACCACATTGCACTGTATGGAATTATTTATTTGACGTGCAATAACTTGAACAAAGATTACAAACATGATGTTGAGCCAAAGAAATCAAAGAAAAAAGAATTCATACAGTGTGAGCTTATTTATATAAAATATTAAAACAGACAAAACCAACCTATGATAGTAGAAATCAGGATAGTGATTTTCCTTTGGGGAAGAAGACAGTAAATGAAACAGACATGAGGGAACTTTCTGAGTGTGTTCACTTTGTGAAAATTCTTTGAGCTATGTCGATTTCTGTATATTCCTATATGTTTCTGTATGTACACTGCAAAGCAATTTTCTATATGTATGTTACAGATCAATAAAAAGGCTAAAAAAAAAAACTAAAAGAATTGAAGAAAAACAGTAAATGATTTTTGCTAGTAAGCCAAAATTGCTTTGGAAGAAATGATACAATTCAAAACAGGTATTAAGTGATTATAATGCATAGTTTGGGTTTTTCTTCACAAGTTTTTTCAGTTAGTCTGTTTTTCTTTTGTAATATGGAGAAAAAAAATATATGTTTCATTTAGACAACAAGTTTTAGTGATGAGACTCAATAAAACTTGCTTGACTAAAAAACAAATATGTGTCTGTGCTTCTGCATCAAAGGAACATTTGCTTCATTGATTGATAACCTTGGAGGAAATAATGAGACGTATACACATAACGTTAACTATGAGTTACACACAATAGATGACTTCAAAATACTTGTTCTGTATATCTTATTTTGAATATGGTGTTAAGTTTCTTATGATTTGTCATACTGGTTAATGTGAAAGCGTGTCATTATAAAGTTCACGTTGCCTTTGAGACATATTAAGAAATGTTTTTGATTTTACAGGCTAATATTGCAACTGACTAGTTTGTAAAATATATCATTCCTGTGTATAAAGCAGCGAAAAAGGTCGGCTCTCCCTTCTTACATCCTCTCCCGCTCTAAAAAAACCCCATTCTCTTCTAAAAAAACCAAAAATAAAACAACAAAAAGCCCCCAAACTCCCAACCAAAACCAAAAACAAAGGAGAAAGGCAGGGCGGGGCAGGCGGGGGGCGGAAGGAAGGGGGAGAGGAAAGTCAAACATTGAGCATCCCAAAGTGCCAGCGAAGCACCGCCGCACCCACCAAGCCTAGATCCCACCCCAATCCCCACTCCACCGGCTTAAACTCATCCCTGAATAGTCACTGGAAGGACTGTTGCTGAAGCTTCAATACTCTGGCCACCGGATGCGAAGAGCCGACTCACTGGAAAAAGACCCCGATGCTGGAAAAGACTGAGGGCAAAAGGAGGAGGGCCGGCAGAGGATGAGACGGTTAGACAGCATCACTGATTCAATGGACATGGATTTGTGCAAACTCTGGAAGACAGTGAATGACAGGGAAGCCTGGAGCGCTGCAGTCCATGGGGTCACAGAGTCGGACACAACTTAGCAACCCAACAAACAATAACAACTAGCCCGGACAATGTGGCATACGCCCCGCCCCTAACTCCACCCTCTAGGTCCGGTCAGACCCCACCCCAGAGCTTAACCTTACCCCCAACCGGGGGAAAGAAACTAGAATTTCTTCTCCGAGGTCATATAAAGAGGAGTTAAGCTTTCCGCCACACTCCACAGCTCCTGTGGCCCTGAGAGCCAGTGCCTCGGCCACTTCCGCTGCTGACGGCCCTGACACCGGAAGCGGAAGTGCGCCGCGGCCGCAGACGGAGGTGGCTGTGCTGGACCGCGCGGCGCCTTGCGGTGGGAGTGTCTCCGGCCAGTCTGCAGGTGAGGCCCATCCCCTCGGGAATGCTAGGAGGGAGCGGGGAGGGGTGTGAGGGCCTAGAACGGACGAGCTGGCCGAGGGACTTCCTCCCCGCGGTCCGCCCGGGGCTGGGGGCGGCTACCGCATAGCTTAGGTGTGCAGCTGAGCTCCCCTTGTCCAGTCTGTCGCGCTCAGGTACTCCTTGTTTGGGCAGACGGGACTGTCATCCACTTATTGCGCGGGAAATCACGAAGTATAGACCAGGTGCCGCGGCGAAGGAGTGGTGCACCAGCTGGCCCCAGCATTCACTTGTCCTTCCGGATTTGTAGGCCTACCGTATCTCTTTTATGCAGGATAATTTTTTATTAATAAATCACGTTTTGTTGCATATTGAGTTTCAGATTATCCAGGTCTGCCCTAGAAAATTTAGGGCTCAGTCTACGCGTGCAAATTCGTTTGAGTGACTTGGCATGTGGATTTGAAAAATGGAATGTATTTTCTGTCGAGGGATGAATTAGATGATTTTTTTTTTTTTTTTTTTTTGGTGACTGACAATTTGCAGTTCCTTAGCTTAGGACCTTTTAGTTTTCCTTTTCCTTTGCTTTTCTTTCTCCTTCCTTCTTTCATTCCTTCAAAAGCGCTTTAAATTTGTGACTTACTTTGTATCAATTTTACTTACTGCAAGGGAAGAAAGTCTTTTTTTTTTGGGAAGCAAGTCTTAATAAAAGCTATTTTTCATTTATGTCACAAGTCTTAAACTAACATCAAAGAAAAGTAAGGTTATTTAGTTCTTTTCAAGGTGGCTCCAGTCTGTAAATCAACAGAAGGCTTCAAAATTTGCGACTCCAGGAAAAAGAACATAAGGTTTGTTAGTACTGGGAACTGATATTGAGTTGGCAGTATTGAATGTCTTTTTAAAATAATAGGGTTAAGACTCACTTCTTGTTTTTTTAAATTAATTTATTTTAGTTGGAGGCTAATTACTTTACAATATTGTGGTGGTTTTTGCCATACATTGCTATGAATCAGCCACAGGTGTACATGTGTCCCCCATCCCACCCCCCCCCCCCCCACCTCCCTCCCCATCCCATCCCTCTGGGTCATCCCAGTGCACCAGTTTTGAGTGCCCTGTCTCATGCATTGAACTTGGACTGGTCATCTGTTTCACATATGGTAATATACTCATTTCAGTGCCATTCTCTTAAATCATCCCACCCTTGTCTTCTCCCACAGAGTCCTAAAGTCTGTTCTTATATCTGTGTCTCTTTTGCTCTCTTGCACATAGGGTTATCGTTGCCATCTTTCTAAATTCCATATATATGCGTTAATATACTGTATTGGTGGTTTTCTTTCTGACTTACTTCACTGTGTATAATAGGCTCCAGTTTCATCCACCTCATTAGAACTGACTCAAATGCATTCTTTTTAATGGCTATTCCATTGTGTATATGTACCACAATTTTCTTATCCATTTGTCTGCTGATGGACATCTAGGTTGCTTCCGTGTCCTAGCTATTGTAAACAGTGCTGTAATGAACCTTGAGGTACACATGTCTCTTTCAGTTCTGGTTTCCTCGGTGTATATGCCCAGCAGTGAGATTGCTGGGTCATATGGCAGTTCTATTTTCAGTTTTTTAAAGAATCTCCACACTGTTCTCCATAGTGGTTGTACTAGTTTGCATTCCCACCAGCAGTGTAAGAGGGTTCCCTTTTCTCCACACCCTCTCCAGCATTTATTGTTTGTAGACTTTTGTTTGTAGATGGCAGCCGTTCTGACCTTGGTGAGATGGTACCTCATTGTGGTTTTGATTTGTGTTTAAGACTCACTTCTAATAAGAAATGAGGAAGAAATTAATTCTGGAGGAAAATTAAATGTCAGATTTTGATTTAATGAATGAGGTATTTCTTTTCAGAGAATTCATGTCCCACTGTGTCTTTTTAGAAAGAATTAATTCTTAAAGATACCTGAAATCTGGTGTTGTGATTTTATATCAGGCATTTAAAATTATTTTTATTTTTGACTTTGGTGGTGGTGGTGGTGGTGTGTATGCAGGCACGTGCCTTTTTAATCTGGCTATACTGATTTATTCTTGAGTTAATTTTTTGGGCACATTTTCATTGGGGGGGGGGGGGAAGCGATATTTAACAGACTGGGCCCTGAACAGGGGAAACAATGTGACCAAAATAGATTCAGCCTTGCCCCTGTGGAGGTTTTAGTCTAGCTGGGAAGACAGATTTTAAATTAACAATAAGGGTGATGTATGTGGCAACTTAAAAAATATCGCACAGTGTGAAAAATTGCACAACTTGAGAGATGTGTGTTGTTTTATCTGGAGCAAAATGAGGACTGCAGCCCAGGAAACAGCACCTCAGATAGTTCTGAGAAACTGCTCCCAAGAGGTAGGGGAAGGAAGGTCAATATATAAGATTTTGGTGAAGGGGGAGTTCAGTGTAACCAACTGCTTACTTTACAGAAGGTTTTCTGCTAGTCATGAGGAGCTGATGTCATCATGAAGGGAGTTTGTGCTTTTCTAGATATGAGGAGATGAAAAGATTGGGTTCATAAAACCAGTTCCTAAAAATATCTATCTGAAGACCTGTTCCACCAGTTTTCCTGAGGCAATGTGCCTCATTCAAACTCTCCACCCTGAACTCCCTTCAGGGCATGTCAGAGGTCAGTAGCAGTGGCAGCATCATCACAGGATACAGTCCCAGGAGAGGCAGGTGGCTGATGCCCTTGACAAGTGCCAGTTGTAGCTGACACATTCGTAAGATGTTACACAAAATTCCATTTGAACTTTTTGGCTAAACCAATAGAAAACACAGAACAGGAGAACTTAAGAAAGTCAGGAAAAGTATCTTAAAAGGGACAAACGTTTGAACCTGAAAGATGCGTTGTATATAGCTAGACAAAGAGTCAGGCTGTGGAATTGGAATAGGGAAGAGATTTGAAAGAACCATAGAGGCATAATCTCTCAAGTAGTACAAAGCCTGGTGTGTTCTAGGAACTGAGAAAAGATGGAGAAAGTTAAAACAGGAAGCCAAGTGTGGAGTGAAAGAGTTGGGTGGAGAGGAAGGAGGGCCTGGAAGATCATGGTAAGCTTTGGACCTTGTTCTAAGGCCATTTGAAAGCCACTGAATCAGAGTTTTAAGTAGGGAGTAATATGATTTTGTTGATGATTTAAACAAAACAGTAGCTTCTGGATTTAGCATGGAGTTTAGGATGGATAAGAATGAATGCAGAGTCCACATGTATAGAAGCCTGGGTAAGTTCAGAACTCGGATGATCTTGGAGCTGAAAAAGTTGGGGTTTGGTAATGATGGTGAAATTGGAAAAGCTTGAATGTTTAAGATGTGTAGGAGGTAGAATTAGAGAATTTTGTGTTTGATGTATTCTCTCTACCACATGATATACAGTAAGTGTATAAGTTAGTTGCTCAGTTGTGTCTGACTCTTTGTGACCCCATGGACTGGGGTCCGCTAGGCTCCTCTGTCCATGGAATTCTCCAGGCAAGAATACTGGAGTGGGTTGCCATTCCCTTCTCCAGGGGATCTTGCCAACTCAGGGTTTGAACCTGGGTCTCCCACATTGCAGGCAGATTATTTACCATCTGAGACACCAGGGAAGCCCATGATATAGAGTACAGGTTGGCAAACTGTGGCCTGTGGGCCAAAACTACTCCAGTGCTAGTTTGTATTAATAAAGTTTTATTTGAACATGATAAAACACAAATATTCTTGCCTGGAGAATTCCATGGACAGAGGAGCCTGGCAGGCTACAGTCCATGGGGTCACAATGAGTTGGACACGACTGAGTGACTCACTCATTCACTCATTGGAGCACATGTGTTTACATGCTCCCTTTGGCTGTTTCTGTGCTACAGTCACAATTAAATAGTTGCCATACATGTGGCTCACAGACTTTTCCCCCCTTAATTCCTGGTTGCATCATTTATTTATTATCTTTGACTGTGCTGGGTCTTTGTTGCTGCACGGACTTTTCTCTAGTTGTGGCAAGTGGGGGCTACTGTCCAGTTGCAGTGCACGGGCTTCTCATTGTGGTGGCTTCTCTTGTTGCGGAGCGCGGGCTCTAGGCATGTGAGCTTCAGAGCTGTAGCACGTGGGCTGAGTAGTTGCGGTTCCCAGGCTCTAGAGCGTAGGCTCAGTAGTTGTGCACAGGCTTAGTTGCTCTGAGCCAAGTGGGATCTTCCCTGATGAGGGATCGAACCCGTGTCTCCTGCATTGGCAGGCGTATTCTTTACCATGAGCCACCAGGGAAGCCCACCATGTGAACTCTTAGTTGTGGCATGTGGGATATAGTTCCCTGACCAGGGATCAAACCTGGGCCCCCTGCATTGAGAGTGCGGAGTCTTAGCTATGGACCACCAGGGAGGTGCTGTGGCCCACACATCCTAAGCTATTTACTATCTAGCCGTCTATAGAAAAAGTTTGCCAACCTCTAATACATAAAGTATGTATCAAGTGCCGTGCCGGTGGCAGGATTTGGAGTCCTGAAGAAAGTGGTTGTTGTTCAGTCAGTAAGTCATGACCGACTCTTTGTGACCCCATGGACTGCAGCACCCCAGGCTTCTGTGTCCTTCAGCATATCCTGGAGTTTGTTCAAACTCATGTCCATTGAGTCAGTGATGCCATTCAATCATCTCATTCTCTGTTGCCCCCTTCTCCTCCTGCCCTCAGTCTTTCCTAGCATCAGGGTCTTTTCCAGTGAGTCAGCTCTTCGCATCAGGTGGCCAAAATATTAGAGCGTCAGCTTTAGCATCAGTCCTTCCAATGATTATTCAGAGTTGATTTCTTTTAGGATTGACTGGTTTGATCTCTTTGCTGTCCAAGGGACTCTCAAGAGTCTTCTACAACAGCTTGAAAGCATCAATTCTTCGGTGCTCAGCCTTCTTTACGGTCCAGCTCTCACATCCATACATGACTACTGGAAAAACCATAGCTTTGACTGCACGGGCCTTTGTCAGCAGAGTGATGTCTCTGCTTTTTAGGTCACTGTCTAGGTTTCTAACAGCTTTTCTTTCAAGAAGCAAGCATCTTTTAATTTTAGGGACACAGTTCTGTACTTGGAGGGTTTACGTCGTGGTTGGAGAGAGAGAGGCAAACTCACCTAAACAAATACATGTAAAAATCCCAACTTGATAAGGGTAGTGGAGAAAAAGTAGAAAGTGTTAGTAGAAAGTGTTTTTTTTGTTTTAAAAAATTTTTTTTCGTTGTTATTGATGTGGACTTTTTATAATTAAATTTTCATTTAATCTGTTACAATGATGTTTCTGTTTTGTTTTGGTTCCTTGGCCATGAGGCATGTGGGATCTTAGCTGTCTGACCAGGGATAGAACTCGAACTCCCTGCATTGAAAGGTGAAGTCTTAATTACCAGACTGCTAGGGAAGTCCCTTGAGGTGTTTTAAGGGAGCTTCGTAGGTGGCTCAGTGGTAAAGAATCCGCCTGCTGATGCAGGACACTCAAGTTCGATCCCTGGTCCAGGAAGATCCCCTGGAGAAGGAAATGGTAACCCACTCCAGTGTTCTTGCCTGGGAACTCCCATGGACAAGAGGAGCCTGGTGGGCTACAGTCCATGGTGTTGCAAAGAGTCAGACATGACTTAGTGACCACACAACAACAACAAAGAGGAGAAGTGGTCCTTTTATTACGTGTGAGGAGTCAGTAGGAATGGTCAGGGCCTGTGATGTGAAAGATGACAAGGGGCCCAATATGTTGCATATTGAGGTAAATTTCCGAGTGAGGCTGTTTGGCTTGGCAGCCCTGCTCATGGTCCACAGAAATGGAATTAATTACCCGGGCCAGACCGCTGCTTGATGTTCTGCTTCCAGTCTCATTTCTCCTTTTACCTCCGTCTTTCTTATTGCAGGAAGGACACACACTGAAACTTTAAACCCTGGCGCTGGTATCATGGTGAGGGGGAAGATTGAGCCTGGATGGTTGTGGGGGTGGGAAAATCTTGTACTTGGGGCCCTGTCTGCTCTCTCGGAAAGGGGAGGGAAGTGTGGAGCATCTTTAGCCCTGTCCCCGGGACTTTTTAGCCTCTTTCAGTGCATGACCTGCTGTTCTGGAGGGAACTGGCGAGGATGGAGGGTTCCCAAAGCAACCTTGGGGTTTGGTACCTAATTCCGCAGTCTAATGGCAGTGAGGGGGCTCAGACTGAGCCGGCAGCCGCAGAAGTCCTCCACGGCCATCCTTACCATCGCTTGTGAGACCTACCGAAAACACATGTGGCTCTAAAAATTAAGGTTAATTAAAATCCAACAAAATTTAAACCTCAGCTTCTCAGTTACCAGACCACATTTCTCAAGTGCTCAGGAGCCACACGTGCTGGTGGCTGCCTTTTTTTGGAAAGTGCAGGCATAGAACATTCCATTCATGACAGAGAGCTTTACCAGTCAGTGCTGTTCCAGAGGATTTCGAGATTAAAAGGCCATCACGTTTCTCAGATGCAACGGAAGTTCAGTTTTAACAGGCATAAAACAATGACTCATCCTAGGGACTTCATGAAAATGAAAAGAGCAAGTTCAGACTTCTCATGCCTTGAATAAGGAGTTCAGGAAAAACTCAGTACATCTGAGAAGGACAGGCTTTGTCATCACTGGATAGTGGAGCAGCAGAGAGCCAAAGCTTATACTTTCAGATTTGTCCAAATGTTAAAAGAAAGTAATTATTTTTGGTTGGGTACGCCATATGAGCTCTGTCCCAGCAACTCTTCAGTTCTGCCCTAGTAGCACAATGACAGCCACAGAGATGAACAGATGGGTGTGGCCATGTGCCAATAAAACTTTATTTAGACAAACAGGAGGCAGGCCAGGTTTGCTGAGCCCAGCTTTGCAGAGAATATTCTCTGAATATTCTCGCACTGGGTCTGCCTTCCCCAAGGGATAAACCCTTATTCTGCAGAATGGTGGGGGTGGTCCTTGCTGAGCCGCAATACATGCGCTGCCTTAGGAATCAGTCACCTTAGAGGATGTGGCGATGGAGCTCATCCAGGAGTGGACGTTGCTGGACGATGCCGGGAGGAACCTGTGCAGACATGTACTGCAGGACAACTGCAGGACCCCGGCGCCCAGGGGTAAGGCTTTCGCTACGCTCGTTCTTCCTGTATGCAGATGCTCTTTTTTTAAAAAAAAAATTGCTTATTTATTTATTTATGGCTGTGCTGGGTCTTTCTCTACTTGGGGCGAGCGGGATCTCCTCTCTGGTTGTGATACGCGTGTTTCTCACTGCAGCGACTTCTCCTATTGTGGAGTACAAGCTCTGGGATGCGCAGGCTTCAGTGGTTGTGGCTCCCTGGCTCTAGAGCACTGGCTCAGTAGTTGTGGTCCATGGGGTTAGTGGCCCTACAGCATGAGCGATCTTCCTGGACCAGAGATTGAACCCACCACGTCTTCTGCATTGGTAGGCGGAGAAGCCCTGAAAATGCCCTTTAAGTGCCTGCCACTTGGCCACAGTGATGCGGTGTGGGTTCCATATGGTTTGTCATTCATGGGCTTTCATAGGATAACAGCTTTATGCATTGAGTGGACTTTAGTCTCTCTGTAGTCAGGGCTTCCCTGGTGGCTCAGATGGTAAAGAATCTACCTGCACTGTGGGAGACTCAGGGTCAGTCACTGGGTCAGGAAGATCCTCTGGAGGAGGGAATGGCTACCCACTCAAGTATTCTCGCCTGGAGAATTCCATGGACAGAGGAACCACAGAGGAGCCTAGCAGGCTATACAGTTCATAGGGGTTGCAAAGAGTTGGACACAACTGAGCAACTAATACTTCTCTATGGTCAGGACCTACATAGGTCTTGGAACGTAGAGAACCTCAGTTCAGAAGGGTAGAGAGGAGAGTGTTTGTGGTTTGGACCCTTGTAAAGGAACCTCATTGAATTCATTAAAAAAAAAAATTGAATGTGATTGCTTAGGTCCCCGCCTACTTGCTTGGCTTCAGGAGCTAAGGCCCAGGTGGAGAGTGGGAAGGCTGGGGAAGCATTTAGTTTCCCCTGCAAGCCCTCCCTCCCTCGGCCCATATGTCCTTCTCCAGCAGCAGGGACTCCACCATGCAAAGCCAGTCTCGTCTCCCAGGTGGAGCCAAGAGAAGAGCTGAAAGCAGCGGAGCACAGCATTCCCTGTGCCACAGGTGTGGGTGAGTACCCGGGGGCATAGCGTGTCATGACCCACCAAGACTGGGCTTGAGAGGTAGGTGCTCCTGGGAAGTGTCAGTTTGAGAGTATTTGTAAAATTCTTTATTCTGAGGGGAAATAAGACTGTTTGGGGTGAGTTCCTTTAACTCTTCTTTTTTTCACTTTCTAACTCTCCTCTAAATGTTGGTTTCAGATTTATGTTGATGTATGGCAGAAACCAGCACCACATTGTAAAGTGGTTATCCTCCAATTAAAAATAAATAAATTTTATAACAACCAAATCTCAATGTACATAGATCTCATTTCTTGTTTGTCAGCATCTGACCATCTGTGAATATAAAGCTGTTAGTTTCGTTATACCATTTGTAAATTTTTACCCATATCTATTAATATTTAAATAAATGCTCGGGGTGACAGTTCTGGTTTTTAAAATTAAAAAAAAAAATAAATTTTAAAAGCTAAAAGAAAAAAGGTCTATTTCAATTTTTTTAAAGGTTTTTTCTTTTTAAGTGTATTCTTTTTTAAAAATCGGAGGATAATTGCTTTACAGTGTTGTGTTGGCTTCTGCTATTCCACAATGTGAATCAGCCACAAGTATACACACATCCGCTGTCTCTTGAACCTCCCTCCCACCCCCACGACCCCATCCCACCACTTTAGGTTGTCACAGAGCACTGGTTGAGCTCCCCTTGTTATACAGGCACTTCCTGCTAGCTATCTGATTTGCATATGGTAATGTATATGTTTTAGCGCTACTCTCTCAGTTTGTCCCACCCTCTCCTTCCCTCTCTGTGTCCACAAGTCTGTCCTCTATATCTGTGTCTCTATTCCTGCCCTGCAAATCAACTTGTCTTTTTTTTTTTTTTAAATTGAGATAGTCACACACTGTAAAATACACCCTTTTAAAGTGTACATTTCACAGGTTTTTAGTATATTCACAAAGTTGTGCAGCCATCACCACTGTCCAGCTCTGGAACACTTCCATCACTTCAAAAAGAAATCCTCTTCTGATTAGCGGTCACTTCCTATCCCTCCTCCCGCAGCCCTCAGCAACCGCTAATCCACCTTCTGTCTCTGTGGATTTGTCTGTCCCGGACATTTCATACAGATGGAATCATACATCCTTATCTGTCTTCTTTCACTCAGCATCGTGTTTTTGAGGCTCCTTCATGTCATAGCATGAAATGCATTGCTTTTTAAGGCCGAATGGCAGTCCTGCTTGTGGAAGGACCACATTCTGTTGATCCATTCTGTTGACCCATCAGGTGGTGGATGTGTATTTTTACTTTTGGTGACTGTGAGTAGTGCTACTCTGAACATTGGTGTGCAAGGAGTTTTGTGGATGTGTTTTCATTTTCTCTTGAGTGTGAGAATTCCACTTAGGTGTGGAATTGCTGGGTCATTTTTTTTTTTAATTGAAGGATAATTGCTTTACAGAATTTTGTTGTTTTCTGTCAGACTTCAACATGAATCAGACGTAGGTATACATGTATCCCCTCCCTTTTGAACCTCCCTCCCATCTCCCTCCCCATCCCACCCCTCTAGGTTGATACAGGGCCCCTGTTTGAGTTTCCTGAGCCATACAGCAAATTCCCATTGGCTATCTATTTTACATGTGGTAATGAAAGTTTCCATGTTACTCTTCCCATACATCTTACCCTCTCCCCATGTCTATAAGTCTATTCTCTATGTCTGTTTCTCCATTGCTGCCTTGTAAATAAATTCTTCAGTACCATCTTTCTAGAGTCCATATATGTGTGTGCAAATACGAACGATATTTATCTTTCTCTTTCTGACTCACTTCACTCTGTATGATAGGTTCTAGGTTCATCCACCTCATCAGAACGGACTCAAATGAGTTCCTTTTTATGGCTGAGTAATATTCCATTGTGTATATGTAGTACAACTTCTTTATCCATTCATCTGTCAGTGGACATCTAGGTTTCTTCATGTTCTAGCTATTGTAAATAGTGCTGCAGTGAACAGTGGGATGCGTGTGTGTTTTTCGATCTTGGTTTCCTCAGGGTATATGCCTAAGAGTGGGATTGCTGGGTCATATGGTGGTTTTATTCCTAGTTTTTAAAGGAATCTTCATACCATCTTCCATAGTGGCTGTATTGATTTACATTCCCACCAACAGTGCAAGAGCATTCCCTTTTCTCCACACCCTCTCCAGCATTTATTGTTTGTAGACTTTTTGATGGCCATTCTGACTGGTGTGAGTGATATCTCACTGTGGTTTGGTTTGCATTTCTCTAATAATGAGCATTGTTGAGCATCTTTTCATGTGTTTGTTAGCCATCTGTATGTCTTCTTTGGAGAAATGTCTGTTTAGGTCATTTTCCCACTTTTTGATTGGATTGTTTGTTTTTCTGGCATTGAATTGTATGAGCTGCTTATATATTTTGGAAATTAATCCTTTGTCAGTTCTTTCATTTACTATTAGTTTCCCCATTCTGAGGGTTGTCTTTTCACCTTGCTTATACTTTCCTTTGCTGTGCAAAAGCTGTTAAGTTTAATCAAGTCCCACTTGTTTACTCTTGTTTTTATTTCCGTTACTCTCGGAGGTGGGTCATAGAGATCTTGCTTTATGTCAGAGGGTGTTCTGCCTATGTTTTCCTCTAAGAGTTTTATAATTTCTGATCTTACTTGGGTCTTTAATCCATTTTGAGTTTATCTTTGTGTATGGTGTTAGGAAGTGTTTAATTTCATTCATTTACATGTAGCTGTCTGGTTTTCCCAGCACCATTTATTGAAGAGGCTGTCTCTTCCCCATTGTATATTCTTGCCTCCTTTGTCAAAAATAAGGTACCAGTAGGTGCATGGGTTTATTTCTGGGCTTTCTATCTTGTTCCATTGGTCTGTGTTTCTGTTTTGGTGCCAGTACCATACTGTCTTGATGACTGTAGCTTTGTAGTATAACCTGAAGTCAGGTAGCTTGATTCCTCCAGCTCCATTCTTCTTTCTCAAGACTGCTTTGGCTATTTGGGGTCTTTTGTGTTTCCATATGAACTGTGAAATTTTTTGTTCTAGTTCTGTGAAAAAAGCCATTGGTAGTTTGATAGGGATCCCATTGAATCTGTAGATTGCATTTGGTCGTATATTCATTTTCACAATATTGATTCTTTCTATCCAGGAACATAGAATATCTCTCCATCTGTTTATGTTGTTTTTGATTTCTTTCATCAGTGTCTTATAATTTTCTGTGTACAGTTCTTTTGTTTCCTTAGGTAAGTTTATTCCTAGATTTTTAATTCTTTTTGTTGCAATGGTGAATGGGATTGATTCCTTAATTTCTCTTTCTTATTTTTCATTTTTAGTATATAGAAATGCAAGTGATTTCTGTACATTGATTTTGTATCCTCCAACTTTGCTAAATTCACTGATTAGCTCTAGTAATTTTTCTGATACTCTCTTTAGGGTTTTCTATGTACAGTATCATGTCATCTGCAAACAGTGAGAGCTTTACTTCTTCTTTTCTGATCTGGATTTCTCTTATTTCTCTTTCTTTTCTGATTCCTGTAGCTAGGACTTCCAGAACTATGTTGAATAATAGTGGTGAAAGTGGACATCCTTGTTTTGTTCCTGATCTTAGGGTGAATGCTTTCAGTTTTTCACCATTGAGAGTAATGTTTGCTGTAGGTTTATCATACATGGCCTTTACTATGTTGAGGTAGGTTCCTCATGTGCCCATTTTTTGAAGAGTTTTAATCATAAATCGGTGCTGAATTTTGTCAAGGGCTTTTTCTGCCTCTATTGAGATGATCATATGGTTTTATCTTTCAATTTGTTAATATGGTGTATCACATTGATTGATTTGTGTATATTGAAGAATCCTTGCATTCCTGGAATAAACCCAACTTGACCAGGGAAGTCACAAGTTTGTCTTTTTGATGTGTTGCTGAATTCCATTTGCTAAAATTTTGTTGAGGAGTTTTGCATCTATGTTCATCAGTGACACTGGCCTGCAGTTTTCTTTTTTTGTGTTGTCTTTGTCTGGTTTTGGTATCAGGGTGATGGTGGCCTTGTAGAATGAGTTTGGAAATGTTCACTCCTCTGCAGTTTTTTGAAAGAGTTTTAGAAGAACAGGCATTATCTCTTCTCCAAATGTTTGATAGAATTCTCCTGTGAAGCCATTGGGCCACAGGCTTTTGTTTTTTGGGAGGTTTTTGATCACCGCTTCAATTTCAGTCAAACTGCTTTTGAGATTTGTTGTTGTTCTTGGTCAGTTGCCAAGTCATGTCCAACTCTTTGTGACCCCATGGACTGTAGCACGCCAGGCTTCCCTGTCATTCACGATATCCCTGAGTTTGCCCAACAGGCTTCCCTGTCCTTTACTATCTCCCGGAGTTTGCCCAAGTCCACGTCTGTTGTTTTGGTGATGCCATCCAACAGTCTGATCCTCTGTTGACCTCTTTTGAGATTAAGGACACTAGTTTACCTTTCCCCCAGTGGTTGGTGAGGATTCTGATTTCTCGATATCATACACACAGTTTTTGTTTAGTTTTTTTTAAATTTGAAAATATTTATTTATTTATTTGGTTGTGGCAGGACTTAGTTGCAGCACAAAGGGTCTTTACTTGCAGTGGCCTGTGAGATCTTAGTTCCCTGACCCGGGATTGAACCCAGGTCCCTTGCATTGGGAGTGTGGACCCTTAACCACTGGACCACCAGGGAAGTCATGATTGTCTTCTTTTTTTTTTTTTAAATTTGTTTTCTTCTTCAAACTTTTTATTTTGTATTGCGGTATAACCGCGTTCATTTTTATATTGAACATTTCTATATATATTTCTTGTTTGATTGCTCCTGTTTCTCTGATAACACACTTTCTGGCGATATCAGTCTAAATCTCCATGGAGGGGGCTTCCTTGGTAGTCCATTGGTTAAGAATCCACTTTCCAGTGCATGGGATGCAGGCTCCATACATGGTCAGGGAACTGAGATCCCACATACCGAGGGGCAACTAAGCCCCAGTGCCACAGCTAGAGAGCCCTTGAGCTGCAACTACAGGGCCCATGTGCCTGTGGACCACAACTAGAGATAAGCGCACGCACTGCAGTGAAGATCCCACGGGCCTCAGTGAAGACCCAGCACAGCCAAAAATAACTAAATATTAAAAAAAGCCTCCATGAATTCTTTTACCAGGACAAGCCTCTGGTTTCCACCTCATCCCATCACTGCCTGACTCTACACACAGCCCTACTCTTTAGAATCTCCCTTTGCTCACTGCAGTGGTAAAGAATCTTCCTGCCAATGCAGGAGACACAAGAGACTCTCCCCAGGATCAGAGAGAGGAAATGGCAACCCACTCCAGTATTCTTGCCTGAAGAATCCCATGGACAGAGGAGCCTGGCGGGCTACAGTCCATGGGGTCACAAAGAGTTGGACATGATTGAGCACACAGCAGAATGCAAGCTTGCTCATTGATACCTTCTACCTTTCAGTATTGTCCCAAGTTCAGGGTCAATATTAAAAAAAAAAATGTGTGTGTCAGTTTCATACCATGACTTCTTTCTGAAATAAGGTAATTTTTTTCCCCCCATTCATTTTAGACTGGGAATCTCAATTTACACCCAAAGAGCCTACTCCTCTGCAGGATATTTCAGTGGAAAACTCATCCTATGATTTGCAAATGGTAAGATTGATGGGGCATGATTCTTCATTCCCTTTCATAGGAGAAGGTGAGGAGTAGCTGAGTTGGATGCGCACACCAGGGCCAGACAGACACTTGAGCCAAGGTGTTTCCTCCAGGACATGAAGTGGGTGATTTAGGGTGGGAGGAATATTGGCTTGGTGTGTGAGAACTCCATAAAGGAGGTGGTTCAGAGTGTGGGCTGTGGGTCACGGGAGATGTGGCCCTGTGGTTGACAGATGCCAGATAGGCAGATACAGAACCTGGGAAAACACAGAAGAGTGTTTATATTCAGAACTAAGTGCTCCCAGTTTTTCTGTAAAAACCTTTTTAGGGACTCCCTGACAGTCTAGTGGTTAGGACTCTGCAGTTTCACTGCCGGGGTCTTGAGTTTAATCCCTGGTCAGCAAACTAAGATTTCACAAGCTGTGCAGTGCTGCCTGGAACAAAGCAAAAACCTTTCTAGTGAAATATCTCTCAGTGCCTCTGAGGGTTGGTGGTCTACCCTCCAGCCACGGGCTCCCCAGAACCAGAAAAGGACCAGCTGTGTGTGTCCAAGTCTCTGGTGCAGTCGGTTCTCAGAGACCCTCAGTGGCTGGTGCCCACAGTGAAGCAGGGAGAGTTGCCAGGTCTGAAACTGCCAGACCCACGTTGCCCAAATTCTTTTCTTAATTAATTAATTTGTCTGGGTCTTAGTTGTGACATGGGCTTCCCTGGTCACTCAGACAGTAAAAAGAATCTGCCTGCAATGTGGGAGACCCAGGTTTGATCCCTGGGTCAGGAAGATCCCCATGGAGAAGAGAATGGCAACCCACTCCAGTATTCTTGCCTAGAGAATCATGGATAGAGGAACCTGGCGGACTAGAGTCCATGGGGTCGCAAAGAGTCAGACTGAGCAATTAACACTTTAGTTGTGACAAGTGGGATCTAGTTCCCTGACCAGGGATAGAACCCAGGCCTGCTGCATTGGGAGTGCAGAGTCTTAGCCACTGGACCACCAGGGAAGTCCCACGAACCCCAAATTCTGATGGCACTACTCCCAAACTTTGGGTCTCTTAGGGTGAGGACAGCCTCCATACCACCTCTTCCTGCTTAGCACCCTCCACTCCTTTTCACAGGGGCCAGAGCTGGACCTGAAGATAGAGATCAAGTCTGAGATGGAAGAGGAGGTGGTGCCTCCGGCTCCAGAGGACTGGTCAGCTCTCCAGCAGTCTTCTGAATATGCAGTCAGCCTGGGAGGTGGTCTGCCAGGAGGGCCCCAGCCTTTGTCAAGAAGGCCCAAGGTTCAGGATATGTCTGTAAGTGGGGAGGTAGGAGGGAGGGAGGAATGGAAGGCCAACTAGATTGGAAATTGGGAACATGCTGGAGGCCCATGCTAGCTCCTGGTGAGAACTACTGAACAGGCGTTGGTGTTTCTGCATTGAGTGTAAATATCTCCACCCTGATGTCAGGCCCTGGGCAGTCTTAGGGGAGGGGGTGGCACCCAGGGTCCAGGTCTTGCCTCTCTGGGTTCAGATTTTCTTCTTCAGTCCTTCCACCCTTTCCATGGCCAGGAAACCTGCAGGAATGAGCAGGTCCTGTGACCCAAGGGCAGTGTGGAGAGTGTCTAAGCCGGTCACCATGCTCTTGGCTCGGGGCCTTATGTTCTGGTTCTGAGGTGGAGAGAGTTACACAGAAGGACACTTTAAGGTGTGCTTGGAGCCCTGCCCTGAGGAGAAGGGGCCTATTCTCCCCTGTCTCCCACCCATCACCTGCCCTGAGGACCAGCCACATTTGCTTCCCATCCTCCACCAAGTCCTGCCATCTTTTCCTCCAAAATATGAACCTGCCTCTGACTGCTGCTCCTGGCCCTGGTGCCACCACCTTGCCCAGAGCCACTGTTAGTTCTCCTGGACCCAGCCTCCTGCTGGACATGGAGGCCAGAGACATCCTCTAGAAGTCAGGGGCTTTCCTGGTGGTCCAGTGGTTTAAGAATCCACCTGCCAATGCAGGGCACATGAGTTCGATCCCTCACCCAGGAAATTCCATGTGTCACAGGGCAACTAAGACCGTGCACCGCAACTATTGAGCCCAAGCTCTAGAGCCTAAGAGCCACAACTGTTGAACCTGTTTTCTGCAAAAAGAGAAGCCACTGTAGTGAGAATCCCCTCACTGCAACTAGAGCGTAGCTCCTGCCCACCACAATGAGAGAAAGCCCAGGCGCAGCAACAAAGTCCCAGTAGAGCCAAATGTAAATTAAAAAAAAACAAGTTGGTTCAAACACCTTTCCCGAGGGAGTGGCCGTTGGTGTAGGAGGGTTCCCGTCCTTTCTCCCACAGCAGGGATTTTCCCCTTGGGAATAGTTTACTAACACCCCCTTATTTGCAGGGTTCCACCCATGCCTCCTCCCTCACCCCTCAGTCTCCTGGCCATCCACTGCTCCTCCGTGCCCCAGGATGTCCCCTGCTCCAAGAGGCTGCTTAGATGAGGCCTTCCCTACCCGGGTTCCCTCTCTCCGTCCCATCTTGGGCTTGAAATTCCATGACACTGACTAGCTTTGTGTCGAGGAGTTGTCAACCTGGACATGGGGAACGAGGCTTGTCCCTACTCTTAGCATGTTTCCCAAAGCAGGGCCAGTTACACCAGTTCAGTCCGGGTGAGCAGGTGTGAGCGGATCCCACCCATGCTGTGAGTCTATAATCTGTTCCTGTCACTCTGTCCAGGGGCTGAAGGTGGCTGTGCAGATGCAGAGGGTGGCCACGCCGGAGCCTGCGCTGGGCCTCCCCAGACTGTGGAGGGCTGGGGGTGCTGGTGAGTGAGCGCCTGGTGGAATTACAGCCAGAGGACCCTGCTGTGTTGTGTTCTGTTGTGTCTGGGAACTTGGATCCACCTTCCTTTCTTCTGACTGCAGTCGTTGTCTTAGGGAGAGAATATATAAAGTCATCTCATCATTTATGGGCTCCCCAGGTGGCACTCGTGGTAAAGAACCTGCCTGCCAATGCAGGAGACAAAAGAGATGTGGGTTTGATCCCTGGATCGGGAAGATCCCCTGGAGGAGGGCATGACAACCCACTCTAGTATTCTTGCCTAGAGAATCCCATGGACAGGGGAGCCTGGCATGCCACAGGCTATGGAGTCGCAAAAGTTGGACACAACTGAAAATGTAGCACATACAATATTCCATTGTATACATATACCATGTCTTCTTTATCTGTTTCTCTCTCAATGAACATTTAGGTTGGTTCAGTATCCTGGCTACTGTAAATCGTGCTGCAGTGAACACTGGAGTGCACGTATCCTTTTGAATTATGATTTTCTCCAGGTATATGTCCAGGAGAGGGGTTGCTGAGCCATATGGTAGTACTATTTTTAGTTTCTTAAGGAGCCTCCATACTGTTCTCCATAGTGACTGTATCAGTTTACATTCCCACTAACAGTGAAGGAGGGTTCCCTTTTCTCCACATCCTCTCCAGCATTTATTGTTTGTAGATTTTTTGATCATGGCCATCCTGACAAGTGTGAGGTGATACTTGACTGTAGTTTTGATTTGCATGTCTTTGATAACTAGCGATGTTGTGTATCTTTTTATGTGGTTTTTGGCCATCTGTGCTATAAAGTACTCATGGAGTACTTGGAGTACTCTTTGCTCTTAAAGTACTCTGGAAGTGCTCTAGACTGTCATCCCGTGGTGAGAAGGGCACTGGGAAACAATTGCAGACAAACCCCTGACGCCCTCCCCCAGGGAGCTCTCAGTCTGACTGGGGAGTGAGTATGGAGTAGGCGTGTCATGGGTCCCTAAGGCCATGCCCCAAACTCAGCTCACTGTTGTACTCATGGCTCTGATTTATTCCAGTGAAGGAATGCAAAGTAAAATCAGCAAAGGGAAAAGGCTTTTGGGGTGACACCTGCAGGAACCCAGGCACAAGCTTTTGGAGTCCTCTCCTAGTGGAGCCGCACAAGACATGCTGAATTCCTTCAGCAGCAAGCTGTGACAGCATGTGCGCAGTGAAATTTACAGGGAGGTTCATTATAGACTCAGAGCCCAGGGTTTTCCCTGGGGGCTGGTCTGTAGGCACCATCTGCCCAGCACATACCTAAACTCCAGGCTTCTGGAAAGAAAGAAGGCATCCAACATGGACCTCATTTTTGTACAGACAGTTTAAGCAGAGTGAGCCCCTCTTACCAGTTAGGGTCAGGGGAACTGTATTGAAATCCAAGTTCTGGGACTTCCCTGGCGGTCCAGTGGTTAAGACCCCACGCTTCCAATGCAGGGGGCATGGGTTCAATCCCTGGCCGGGGTACTAAGATCCCACATACTGTGCGGTGCGGCCAAAAAAAAAAAAAAAAAAAGGAATTAAAATAGAAGGCTTAAAAGGAAAAGCAAAAAGAAATCCAAGTTCCCAGAGGCCAGCTAAGGGCCAGCCTCGCCAGCTGGCCTTGCTAAGGAGAGCAGTCAGGAGGGCTATGTTAACTTTCGTCTGCACAGTAGGGAAGCCTGCTGCTGCTGCTGCTAAGTCGCTTCAGTTGTGTCCGACTCTGTGTGACCCCATAGATGGCAGCCTATCAGGCTCCCCCGTCCCTGGGATTCTCCAGGTAAGAACACTGGAGTGGGTTGCCATTTCCTTCTCCAGTGAATGAAAGTGAAAAGTGAAAGTGATGTTGCTCAGTGGTGCCCGACTCTTCGCGACCCCATGGACCACAGCCTACCAGGCTCCTCTGTCCATGGGATTTTCCAGGCAAGAGTACTAGAGTGGGCTGCTATTGCCTTCTCCGAGGGAAGCATGGAACTATGTAAGATGTATTCAGGAGGTCAAGTTGAGATAGTTTGGTGGGTCATGTATACATTCATTTACCAGACAACTGGGGGCACTTATGGGAGGGGGACTGGGGGCTCAGCAGTAAAGAACCCACCTGCCAATGCAGGAGAAGCATGCTGGCGTCCTGATGGGACACCAGCAAGTGACGGGGCAGGAACTTGTGCAGGAGTGGAGGAGGCTGGGGGTTTGGGTGCCGAAGCCCAGCAAAGTGGAAATGTTTAGTCGCTCTTTCATGTCCGACTCTTTGTGACCCCATAGACTGTAGCCTGTCAGGCTCTTCTGTCCATGGTGTTTTCCAGGCAAGAATACTGGAGTGGGTTGCCATTCTTTTCTCCAGGGGGATCTTCCTGACCCAGGTCTCCCACATTGCAGACAGATTCTTTACCAACTGAGCCACCAGGGAAGCCCTCTGAAGCCCAGGCGGGGTGGGCTTTAACATAGGGGGATTGGACGACTGAACATTTCTACTAGATCCTCCCTGGAGATGGAGGTCACAGGGGACTCTAGTGAGGTGCTGGTTGTTGAATGGTGGTGTTTTGGAACTGAATCCAAGTTGAGGGAATGAGTACAGGAGTTTGCCCATGATGGGGAACAGAGAGAGAAAACAGTAGCCAGAGGGAGAGGTGGGGTATTATAGCTGTATTGTGCCCCCCTCCGCCGCCCCACCAGACTCTATTGAAGTTCTCACCCTTGGTACCTGTGAACGTGACCTTGTTTGGAAATAGAGTCTTTGCAGATGACATCAGGTTAAGGTGATGTCAGTGGACCCTAATCCCATATGAATGGTGCCATTTTAAGAAGGGGAAGATGCCTTGTGAAGACAGGGACACGTGGGGGAGAAGGTCACATGACAACAGAGGCAGCAATTTGAGGGACGTAGTTACAAGCCCAGGATTGACCTTCACCACCAGAGGCCAAGGTTTTTCCAGTAGTCATGTATGGATGTGAGAGTTGGACCATAAAGAAGGCTGAGTGCTAAAGAATTGATGCGTTTGAATTGTGGTGCTGGAGGAGACTCCTGAGAGTCCCTTCGACTGCATGGAGATCAAACCAGTCAACCCGAAAGGAAATCAGTCCTGAATATTCATTGGAAGGACTGATGCTGAAGCTGATGTTCCAGTAGTTTGGCCATGTGATGCAAAGACCTGACTCACTGGAAAAGACCCTGATGCTGGGAAAGATCGAAGGCAGGAGGAGAAGGAGGTGACAGAGAATGAGATGGTTAGATGGCATCTCTGACTCAATGGACATGAATCTGAGCAAACTCTGGGAGGTAGTGAAGGACAGGGGAACTTGGTGTGCTGCAGTCTTTGGGGTCGCAAAGAGTCGGATACGACTTAAGGACTGAATAACAACAACCACCCTAAGCCAAGAAAAGGCAAGGAATGACTCAGCCGGAGTCTGAGAGGGAGTGTGGCCCCACCAATGGCTTGATCCTGGACTTCTGGCTGCTGGAACTCTGAGAGATACAATTCTGTTGTTTTAAGCCACCCAGTTGTGTTTTTTTTTTTTTTTTAATAGCTGCCCTGGGAAACTAATACCATGGGATCAGGGATTGGACGTGGTTCAGATTTAATGACCAAGGGAAAGGTCCCACTGAGAGGGGAATTGGGGGTATCGGGAGATGGGATTGTGGGGCATCACTTCTCTGTAACAGGCCAGAGTAAGGAGCCTGGTGTAGGGGAGGAATGTTACCGATTTGAAGACGGGAAAGGAAGGACGCTTCCTTCTCAGGCAGGCTCCCAGGGAAGTGGTGGTTTCTCTGCTCTGCTTGTGGTAAGTCCTGGGCGGTACCAACCCTGCAGAGTTGGGGCAGAGGAAGGGGCCCTGCAGTCAGGGAGGAACAGCTGACTCAGGGCCGAGTCAAGGGGGAGAAAGGGGCACTGTAGAAACCTCACCGTCTGTTGGTGAGTCGAGACTGTGGCTCCCGAGATTTGGAATGGAGGAAATGTGTGTGTGTTTCTTTTTTTAAAGCACTTGTTAACATTAAAAATAAAAACATTTTAGTTTTTATTGGGGTATAGCCAGTTAGTGATGTTGTGATAGTTTCAGGCGAACAGTGAAGCTGAGTCATATATATAGGACTCAGCCATATGTATACATGTATCCGTTGTCCCCCAAACTCCCCTCCCATCCGGGCTGCCACATAATATTGAACAGAGTTCCATGCAGAAGCACTTGACATTTAATGAATTTCCCACCATGTGGCTTCAGGCTGGTGTGGTGGTGTTCAGTTGCTAAGTCGTGTCCAACCCCTTTTGACCTCATGGACTGTAACCTGCCAGGCTCCTCTGTCCCTGGGATTTCCCAGGCAAGAATACTGAAGTGGGTTGCCATTTCCTTCTCTGCAAGCCCCTCCCACACCCTTAGTTTTCTTCTCAGCTCTTCTGCTGTAGAATTTGGCCTTCATGATGACAGGCTGCTTTGGGAGCTTTTTGTTCCCCAGATCTTTCTGATCACATCAGTGATAGGACAGCTCCAGTCTTATTCTCAACAGCACTTATCTGGATCTTCTCACTGACCAAGGTCAACAGTTTATCAAGGTTGACAGTTGGACAGAAGCTCTGGTTCCCCTTTAAGTGGTAATGCCTTGTACCGACTTTCCCAACGTCTCCTGGGTGATATTCGTTCAAGTTGATCCTGTGGTGAAGCAGGCCACCAGTGTTAGCTCAGCTTCCTGGGTGTTTCCCATGATGCAGCCGTGGCTCATGTGCCCTCTAAGTTTTCAGGTCTTCCTTAGTTTGGTTGGCATATTGGCGGCCGAGATGAAAGAGCTGTGTGTGTTTCTGTATATTTCTGTGGATGTGTGTGTGTGCTTGTGTATGTGTGGTGCTGGGCCTCTAGCGGTGTCTGTGTGTGTGTGTCTCTGCACATAGTGTATGCATGTGTGGGTACCGGTGTGGGTGAGTGTGCCCACGTGCCCAAGTAGCTGTGGGTGTGTGAAAGCATATGTGCATGCACATCTCAGTGTACAGTACGTGTGTGTGTGTTTGTCCAAGGGAGTGTGTGCACCTGTGGTCACACACAGTCACGGTGGGCAGCCTCAGCCCTGCCGCTGAGACCCTCTCATGGCTCTCGTTTTCTCCTGCAGCTCTGTTTGCTCAGGGCCCTGCCTGGCTCCAGAAGGAGAGCACAGAAGAAGCAGCCATGACTCCTGGGGGACTGGCCACCTGTCCACAGGTAAGCTGGAAGTCCTTGCTCTTCTTCCGGCTTTGCCTCCTTGTCCCCTCCCCTTGTCTGGGAGCTTCTCAACCCCACAGGGCTGGTCTCTAGGCTTCCAGGCACTGGGCCTCTAGTGGTGGGCGAGCGGCGACCTCACCTGCTGGACCCTGGGGTTAGGGGCGAGGATTTCCAGGCTAGTTGTTGTTTTATTTTAAATCATTTATTTACTTTTGGCTGCACTGGGTCTTTGTAGCTGCGCTCAGGCTTTCTCTCGTTGCAGCGAGCAAGGGCCACTCTTCGTTGCAGTGCATGGGCTTCTCATTGCAGTGGCTGTTCTTCTTGTGGTGCATGGGCTCTGGGCACACAGGCTTCAGTAGTTGTGACGTGTGGGCTTAGTCGCCCCGTGGCATGTGGGATCTTCCCGGACCAGGAATTGAATCTGTGTCCCCTGCATTGGCAGGCAGATTCTTACCCACTATGCCACTAGGGAAGTCCTGGCTACTTGTCAGTAGTTAAGTCTTGTCATGAAGTTGAGGTCCTTGGCTGCCACACTTCAGGACGCTCTCATTTTTGGAGGGAAGAATAGATGGAGAAAAGTTGCAGTTCTGAGGCCCGAGCTGAGGGACCTTAGAACTATATCTGAACATCCTGTGCATGGGAGTCTCCCTTCCCCAGGCCTGCAAGCCCCTCACTGTCCTCTTAAGTCCTGGAGGGGCTGGCCTCTGGCTGAGCTCCTGGATGTGCATTTTAGGAGCCAGTCACCTTCGCAGATGTGGCCGTGCTGTTCACACCGGAAGAATGGCTGTTTCTAGACTCTGCCCAGAAAAGCCTGTACAGAGACGTGATGCTGGAGAACTACAGGAACCTGGCCTCTGTGGGTAAGGCCGGCCTTGCTGCTTCATGCACACATTCATGCAGCTACTGTGGGTTCCCAGAACTGTGCTGGTCTGGGGAATCCAGAGGTGAAGAGACAGACAGGTCCTGCCCTCATGGTGCTTATTATAGTCTTGTGGCTTCCTCATGGAAATGAAGGCCTGTCTGCTCTTCCTGGGCTTCTTAAGTGCCTTCTTGAGCCAGGCCCTGGGTTGTGGGGATTAGGGAGTCCTACTATTCTTTGGCACCCATTGAGGGAGCTTGTACCTTAGTTCCTTTGTGCAGGAAGCCTACATCAGAATGTAGGTGTGCCCTTTTTGCTGTTTCCATCTCCAGTGACCCTGAAGGCTTCAGAGTATCAGCCCCTGTTGCATGGCAGGCACAGTTTGCTCACACCCTGCATCTTTTCCCATAAGCAGGTGATCAACTCTGCAAAACCAGGATGTCTTCCCATATGGAGCAAAGAGAAGAACTGTGTGTCACTGAGAGAGGGGTCTTCCCAGGAGCCCAGTTAGGTGAGCACTAGGCAGGCGAGGGGAGCACCAGCTCTGGGCGCTAAGATGAGTGTGTAAGATTTAGAAACACTTTCAGTATCCTTGATGGGGAAGGCAGTTGGGCTGAGCTTCCTCAGTAAGTTTCACTTTCTTTACTCTTTCCCTTGCCTTTTTACCTCTAACACTTTACTCTGGCTTCATAGAGCATAGAGTAAATTATCCTACCTCCTTTCTACATTTAGCACTTTCATGTGTATATTTCATCCAGTTCTTCCCCACTATGTTTTTAACTAATACTTTCTCTCAACATCAGGCTCAGTCTTCATGGAATCTTTTCTTAGAAAATTATCTACTATTTCCACTCCTTGTTCCTGTGATTACTTAACTCTTCACATAGCCAAACAGCCTAAATATTTTTTTGCTCCTTAATATGTTCCTTTTTTTTAAAAAAAATTATTTTTTGGCTACATCACGTGGCCTGTGAGATCTTAGTTCCCCAACCAGAGATAGAACCTGGACCCCCTGCATTGGAAGTGTGGTGTCTTAACCACTGGACCAGGGAAGTCCTGATATGTTCCTCTTATTCAGTTTCTTCACATATTTAGGATCAGTATTAAAAAAAATCTGCATGTATCTAGCTTACTGGTCCTTTTGATCCCAGAGTTTCCTTCCCTGTGCACTTGATATTGCCTCCCCCTTAATTCATTCCAGGTCCTCACCTTCAACACCAAGACTCAATTCCTAATCAAGATATTTTGGCAGCGATTCCATCCATTGGCATGAAAAGGGTAAGGCATAAGGGATTATTCTTGGTCCTCTACAGTAGGAATTGCTGTAGGCTAGAAATTCAAGAAGCTCAGAGAGAGATTCAAGGCAAGTGGTACTCACCTAGGAGAAGGCAGTTTGTTGGGAGAGAGTCTGTGAATATAATGAATTGGGGGAAAAAACTCTAAATGTAGATCAAGATGTATCTCACAGAGTTCCCAAAGCTAATCATTTTTAAAACCTTTTTATTTTGTATTAGGGTATAGCCGATTAAAAATGTTGTGTTTCAGGTGAATGTTCAGTTTCAGGAGAACAGTGAAGGGATTCAGTCATACATATGCGTGTCTCCATTCTCTCCCAAACTCCCCTCCAATCTAGGCTGCCACATAACATTGAGCAAAGTTTCCTGTGCTCTACAATAGGTCCTTGTTGGTTATCCATTTTAGATACAGCAGTGTGTACATGTCCATCCCAACCCAAGCTCCCTAACTGTCCCTTCCTGTCCATCCCCCCCCCCACCCCCTTCCAGCCAGCAGCCATAAGTTTGTACTGTTAAGTCTGTGAGTCTGTTTGTGTTTTGCAAGTGAGGTCATTAATATCATTTATTTTTAGATTCCATGTATAAGGCATGTCATACAATAGTTCTCCCTTCTCTGACTTACTTCACTCTATGTGATAGTCTCTGTGTCCATCCATATTGCTGCAGATGGCATTATTTCATTCTTTTAATGGCTGAGTAGTATTCCATTACTTTTTCTTCTTTATCCATTCCTCTGTCAATGGACATTTAGGTTGCTTCCATGTCATGGCTGTTGTAAACAGTGCAAAGTTTACCATTTTTGTAAATCTGACAGAGAGGTAGAGCATTCAAGACTTAATTTAGCCTTTAACAATTAAAAAAAAATCTACTTCTAAGAAGTCCCATGAAGGTAATGAAAATGATAGCTCTTTGTGGCAGAGTATCCTCTTGAAGGAACTCAGGGTAGAAATGGCAGAGATACACTAGGACGGTATAAGTTTGAACCATAGGACTGCCTCTCTCCTACACACAGTTTGCTTCTGGGAGAATACCTTTGACTGCGGTAAAGCCTCTGGTCTTCCCATTTTCCTCAATTGACAGGAGCCACCTCAGGTCGGAGAAAACCTCTATAAATATGATGAGCTTGGGAAGCCCTTTGACAGCATCAAACCGCTTTTTCAGTACCCGCGATTTCCTACTGAAGGAAACCCCTTTGAAGGCCGAGAGAGCCGAAAATCCTTCCTCCGGACCACCCGCCTCATCGTGCCTGAGAAAGTCCCCAGCGGGGATAAAACCTACACGTGCGACAAATGTGCAAGATCCTTCCGGTACAGCTCCGAGCTCATCCGGCACGAGAAGACGCACACCGCAGAGAAATGCTTCGAGTGTCAGGAGTGCCGGCAGGCCTTCAAGTACTTCTCCAACCTGCGGCGCCACCTGAAGACCCATGGCGGTGAGAAGCCCTTCGAGTGCAGCCAGTGCGGGAAGACCTTCACGAGGAACTTCAACCTGATCCTGCACCAGAGGAACCACATGGGCGAGAAGCCCTACTCGTGCAAGGACTGTGGGAAGGCTTTCACGCAGCCATCCTCCCTGAGGAGCCACATGAGGACCCACACCGGAGAGAAGCCCTTCGAATGCGGCCACTGTGGGAAGACCTTCCGGGAGCACTCGTCACTGAAGACACACGTGCGGACCCACACCCGAGAGAAGCCCTACCAGTGCAACCACTGCGGGAAGCCCTTCCGCACGAGCACCAACCTGAACGTGCACAAGAGGATCCACACCGGCGAGAAGCTCTACGAGTGCGCCACCTGCGGGCAGGTCCTGAGTCGGCTCTCCACCCTCAAGAGTCACATGCGGATCCACACCGGAGAGAAGCCCTACCCGTGCCCGGAGTGCGGGCGCGCCTTCGGGGAGCCCTCATCCCTCAGGAAGCACGCGAGGACCCACACCGGCAAGAAGCCCTACGTGTGCCCGCAGTGCGGGCGAGCCTTCGGCCAGTCCTCGCACCTCATTGTCCACGTGAGAACGCACACCACGGGGCGACCCTACGAATGCACTCAGTGTGACAAAGCCTTCCGGCACAGCTCTTCACTCAGCGTGCACAAGAGGATTCACGCCAGGGGAGAAAACGTCAGGACCGGCGACCTGCCTCTATCTGTGTCTCTGCCCATGGAAGGGCCCCTTGCTGATTAACCTCCTGTTTCTACAGACTAAGCATCCGGGGCGGCAATCATCTCTCCTAGTACTCCTTTAGCGACATCCTCCATGGTGGCTCAGTGATGAAGAATCGCCTGCCAATGCAGGAGAGGAGGGTTCTATCCCTGGGTTGGGAAGATCCCCTGGAGAAGGAAATGGCAACCCACTCCAGTATTCTTGCCTGGGAAATCCCATGGATCCTGGTGGGCTGCAGTCCCTGGGGTCACAAAGACTCAGACATGACTGAGCACGTGTACACACACGTAACACACCACAGGCAGAGTGTGTGATCTTTATGTTGTTGAATGTTAAGTGTTTATGGAGATTTGTTTTTAGGTCTAGGGCTTCCCTGATGGCTCAGGCGGTAAAGCGTTTGCCTGCAATGCGGGAGACCTGGGTTTGATCCCTGGGTTGGGGAGATCCCCTAGAGAAGGAAATAGCAACCCACTCCAGTACTCTTGCCTGGAAAATGGCATGTCTTGGTAGTTGCCTGCCAAAACTGCCCCTTCTTACTTGCAAAAGCACCTAGGTATTTTTGTTCAGATTGGGACTATGCAATGTATATATATATATTTTGTGGCTTAAAGCAAGAGAATTTTATTCTCTCATACTTCTAGAGGGCAGAAGTTGAAATCAAGGTGTCTGCAGGGCCACGTTCCCTCTAAAGTCTCTAGGAGAGGAGGCTTCTTTGCCTCTTCCCACTTTGGGTGGCCCCAGGTGTGCCTTGCCTTGTGGCAGCATCGCCCCCATCGCTGCCTCCATCTTCACATGGCCTTCTCCTCTGTGTGTCTGTGTCCTCTCCTGTGTCTTCTAAGTGTCTCTTATAAGGACACATCATTGGATTTAGGATATCTATCCAGGATGGCCTCATCTCAAGATCTTTAATCTAATGACATCTGCAAAGACCCTTTTCCAGCTGAGTTCACAACCAGAGTTTCTAGGTGGACATATCTTTCGGTGATGGTGGTGGTGGGGGCCGCATTCATACCACTACACCATCAGGGAATGTGCATGATTAAAATACTTCCACCTCCCTGTCCTTCTTGCTGGCAGTGGAGGCCACGTTCTCCAGTCCTGGCCAGCAAGAGACATCTTTGAGTGTGAGTCCTGGGGAAGATGTCACAAAGGAATGGTTTCATCTAGCCAGATCCCTCTCCTTCTTCCCTGGTGGCTTGGACAGTGAAAAATCTGCCCACAATGCGGGATACCCAGCTTCAATCCCTGGGTCGGGAAGATCCTCTGGAGAAGGGAATGGCTACCTACTCCAGTATTCTTGCCTGGAGAATTCCATGAACAGAGGAGTCTGGTGGACTACAGTCCATGGGGTCACAAAGAGACTTCAGACACGACTGAGCGACTAACACTTTCACTTTCTCTCCTTCTTGCCTTTTGTACAAGCGGGCACCATATCTGGTGCTAGAGGAGGCATCCTGTGACCACAAGGGCGAAAGCAACAGTCTAAAGAGAGCATGGGGGACTTCCCTAGTGGTCCAGTGATTAGGACTTTGCGCTTCCAATACAGGGCTGAGGGTGTGATCCCTGGTCAGGGAACTAAGATCCCACAGCTGTATGGTGCTGCCAAATTAAACATATAAAAATAATAGATTAAAAAATAATAGATTGTGGCCAGAGCTACAACCATCTTGGTTCCCTGGTTGGTATCCTTGTGTGGGTGTACCAGCCCTGGGTTGTTTGTTTCTGGACATCTTGTTTACACGAAAAAGATGCACTTCTTACTGGTACATGACATTGTCTTTTTTTGCGGGGAGGGGAGTTTGGGGGAGGGCAGGGATGGATTTATTGTGGCTGAATGCAGTCTCTAACTGATGCACTTAATATATGGTTCATTTTTATAAATGCTTCTTGGATGGTGGAAGTCAATGTATGGTATCCTATAAATGTCCACTAGATGGAGCATGCTCTTTGTGTATAAAAGTCTTTTACACATTTTAAAATACTGGTTTCTGTCTTAGCTCGGGCTGCTATAACAAAAATACTGGGTGGCTTACAAAGAACAGAAATTTATTTCTCACAGTTCTAGAGGTGGGAAGTCCAAGATCACAGCTGGCAGATTTGATGTCTGGGGAGGCCCCACTTCCTAGTTCATAAATGGCCATCTTTTTGCCATGTCTCAAATGGCAGAAGGGGAGCAAGAGAGCTCCCTGGAGTCTCGTTTGTAAGGGCACTGATCCCATTCATGAGAGCTCCATCCCTATGACCTAATCACCTCCCAAGGGCCTCACCTCTTAACCATCTCCTTGGGAGTTAGACTTCAGCATGTCAACTCCAGGGAGCACCAACATTCAGTCCTTAGCTTTCCAGTCTATCATTTACTGAGAAAGTTACATTAAACTCTCCTACCATATGTATGAATTGCTGAATGAGTCTTTTAATTCAAATTTCATATATTTTGAAGCAATGGAATTAAAAGATTTTTGACATCTTGTAAGCTTTCGGTTAAATGTTCCTTTTATTCTTATAGTGGCCATCTTTCTCCCTAGCAAGGAATATTCAGCCATTCATCATCATAATAGCAAATGATTATTTAGTGCTTATTATTGCTAGATAGTATTATAGCTACTACCCTAAACTTTGTATCTTTTAAGTTATTTAGTCCTTACAATGACACTTTGAGGAAGGTACTGTTATTATCCCCAATTCATAGATGAGGAAACTGAGGCCTGGTAAGTTAACTGAGGTCCTGCAGGTGGTAAGTGACAGTCTGGCTCTTGCTACAGAACTTCACTGCAGGGAGCTGTTGTCCATTTCCCCTGAACTCAGAGTTCTGTTTTTGTGTTTTAAAGTTTTGTTCCTTTTTCCCCCCACACTGAAAGGCTTTGTGGGATCTCAGTTCCCTGACAAAGGATTGAACCCACACCCTTGGCAGTGAAAGTGCAGAGTTCTAACCACTGGATTGCCAGGGAATTCCCCTAAAGTTCTTTAATTGAGACATAACTTACGTAAAAGTCCATAAGTCTTAGTGTTCACCTCAGTGAATTATATATATATATATATATATATATATATATATATAGCTATACTACTCTAGAGTAGGGAATGGCTACCCACTGCAGTATTCTTGCCTGGAGAAGTCCATGGACAGAGAGCCTGGTGGGCTACAGTTCATAGGGTCACAAAGTTGGACATGACTGAGTGACACTTTCACACCACCCACATTAAAAAAAAAAATTCTATCTTCCCAGAAGGTTCTCTTGGGCCCGACCCAGGTCAGTAAGCCCCATCTCCAGAGTTAACCAGTATTCTGACTTCTGTCACCATAGATTTGTTTTTCCTGTTCAGAAAAATAGAACCACACAGTACGCCTTCTTGTGTCTGATGTTTTCACTTAATATAGTGCCTATGAACTTTATCATTGTCACATTGTCAGTAGATCTCTTTTAAAATTGCTGTGTAATATTCCATTGTCTAAATACACTACAGTTAAAAAATTTCACTCTGTTTATGGACATCTGGGTTCTTTCCCAATGCTGTTATGAATAAAGCTGCTATGAGTATTCTTGTGTACATCTTCTTGTGAACATATCTCCTTATTTCTCTTGGGTATAAAACCTAGACATGGTATTTCTGGGTCATTGCATAGGCATATTTTTAGCTTCGGTAGATATTGCTAATCAGTTTTCCAGAGTGGTTGAAACGGTTCATGCTTCCATCATCAATCGGGAATCCCTGGTGATTGGTAATGTGGTAAAGGAGACCACCTGCGATGGAGGAGATGCAAGTTCAATTCCTGGGCTGGGGAGATCCCCTGGTGAAGGGAATGGTAACTCACTCCAGTGTTCTTGCCTGGGAAATCCCATGGACAGAGGAGTCTGGTGGGCTACAGTCCGTGGGGTTGAGAAAGTGTCGGACACGACTCAGCGGCTAAACAACCAACCGCCACATCAGTAGATTAAAGTTTCATTTGCTTCATATCCTTGACAGCACATGCTACTGTCAATTTATTTATAGCTGTGTTAGTGGGTAAGTGATTTCTTATGTTTTGCCTTGCTTTATTTTGTGTGTGTGAATAGTGATGTAGATTGTAGATTTCATCCATTCTCTTTTGTACACCTCTCTTCAGTGTGACTTTAATGCTTCTCTTATCAAGAGGTGGAGTTTATTTCTCTATCCTTTGAAGATGAACTTGGTCACATGACTTTCTTTGGCCAGTGAAACATTATCAAACATGATAGAAGCTAGAAAAACACATTGGGGGACTTCCCTGGTGGTCCAATTGTTAAGAATCCACCTGCCAGTGTAGGGGACACTGGTTTGATCCCTGGTCCAGGAAGATTCCCACAGGCCACGGGGCAACTCAACTCTGTGAGCCACAGCTATTGAGTCTGTGCTCTAGAGCCCGGGAGCTGCAGTTAACTGAAAACTGCCCACCCTAGAGTCTGTGCTCTGCAACAAAGAGAACCCTCTGCAATGAGAAGCCTGTGCACTGCACTAGAGAGCCCCTCCTTACTGCAATGAGAGTAAGCAACAAAGACCCAGTGCAGCCAAAAGTAAATAATTAAAGAAGAAAAACACATTAGCCTTTGCCATCTTTTAGCTCAAGATTAGATTCTTGACAGTGTGATGAAGCCTGGGCCATCTTCCTCTAGGATTAGACACCACATGGAGAGAGAGGATTTGCTGATGGTCAGCAACAATCCTCAGACAGGTGAGTGAGGCCTCCTTAGACCATCTGACTCCAGACAAGCCATCAGGTGACTTAAGTCTCATGAATGATCCTGGGTATCAGCACTGCCCAGGTGAGTTCGTCTCAAATGCCGACTCAAAGAATTGTGAGCATATAAGCTGGTCAGGCAGCAATACATAACTGACACAGACGTTTGTATCAGAAATAGGATGTGGCTGAAACAAAAGCTTCAAGTGTGGCATTGACTTTAGAACTTTGCAGCAAGAAAGCAGATGAGAAGGGTGAGGAAACTTAGTGGCTGGAAATATGGTGAGAAAACTGACGCGAGAGGTTTGGAAAAGGCTTTGTGGTT